AGTTTACTTTACTGTAATCAGACATCACATAAGTGTAATCGTTTATGTTAAATGGTTAAAAGTGTGTTATTATTAGTTTTTTCTTTCATTATTCAGTATTTCTCCGTGTACCACTAGAATAAAACCCAGTTGAGAATCACTGCATTACTGTAAACACTCTTGTCCACCTGTTAAGATTAAAATGCGTTATGAACTGTGTGTTTCTTGTTTAAATGATGGGCTGTTATAAATCAAACGCTGTGGTGATGTTACTGTGGTGTAAAGCTGCTACTATCCGCTGTATGAAAATCCTTCAGATATTTGCGCTTATCAACATGAAACATGTGAATCATGACTTGCTTGCATGGTTGCATTGATGAGGGGGTATACGCAGGGTTTTCGCTGTCATGATTCGCGGACACTTTCATCAGCTGTATCAGCAGAGACTTTCTTTTAAAATATAAGTATTATTCCTGTTTGAGGCATGCTGATATAAACAATATTGCCTTGCTGCTGTTCTGCCATCTGTCATCTTGTGATGGCCTCTTTCATCAGCAGGGTGTTTCTATAGTCGGCATCACCGCTGGGTGTGTGTGTGTGTGTGTGTGTGAGTGTGTTTGTAGGATTTCAAACTATTCTCAGCACATCCCTGCAGGCCTTTGTTTCTGACGTTTGACACAGATTGGCAAATCCTCATATTGCGTAAATCTTTTGTCTTGTGTCATTGGGCCCTCCTTGACAGGCCAAAAATAAAAAAAACAATGATAAAAAAAGAAAAACTTGTGCATAGAGCAGGTATAATATTTTGATGGTCCATTTGAGTATTAGACTGCCTGCTTAATATCTGTTGATACTGCTCCTTCAACAGACATTTAGGTGAAGTTTATTTATAAACTAATTTCGAGAGGATCACATGCTTATGATTGCTTGCAGCTGGTGCCACATTATTCAATTTATGATTCACCAATCAGACGATTCTTAAGCCACTACCAATACTCTAAGTTCCATATAACAGCCATTCTTTGTTTTGAAGAATCTCCCCATCCACCCCTTCTCCTCCTCCTTTCCTAGATTGATGGCACGGTGGCCCAGTGGTTAGCACTGTTGCCTCACAGCAACTGGATCTGGTCCTTACCAAGCCAGCCGATGTTTCTGTGCGGAGTTTACACTTTCTCTCTGTGCTTGCGTGGGTTTCTCCCACCGTCCAAAAACATGCAACTTAAGATAATTGACTAATCCAAATCAGCACCATAGACATGCTCTAAGTAGTTATCTCTTAAGAGCAATCACTATCTGTTCATTAGGTACTACAGCAACGGAATTCTCGAGATCTACCTGAGCTCAAACTCTTCTCTAGCCTTGAAAAGACGATCAGTTGGGATTAGGGATGGGGTTTGGTGGGGGGATTGGTCGGTCGGTCTGTCTGTCAAGTCCAAGTGTGCCGCAAGCCTACGTTTGAGTGAAGGTCTCGCCGTTAGATCGCCCCCTGGGGGCTGGCTGCAGTACAAGTCATAAAGCCCGCCTCCTCCGTGTTAATGAAGGAGACTTGAGCCCAAATAAAAAAATTTATTACACTTGCAATAAAATGTCCCGAAAGATGGTTATGGTCGATTAAAGCACTGGTTATTGTGCTGAAATAGGTGCAGATCTTCATTTTTGTAAACAGTTTGTTTTTAGCAGTAATTTAATGCTGGGCGTGTCATCGTGATTGACAGTTGTGATTGACAGTTTCTCAAAGCAGCGCGTCTGAGGTTCGGCAGGAGACTGAAGTGTTATTATTCGATTTCTGTGTTATTTTACCATGACAAAATGAGTTCAGCAGTAAACTACAGTTTCTGACATACATGATCCTGGTGGAACACTGTTTATTCGCTAAGGTCAGGGCTTTTTTCGGGCTTTATTAGTTTGCTGATACACGTACACCTAGCCACCCAGATAGCAAAATACACTCGGGCCAGTTCCAGCTAGATTCTCGCCTGCCGGAGACTTACCCCTCAAAGCTCAGACTGACTACCTCTGCTGGACCTACTCCGGATGCCTGGACTCACTGCCCGATTCCAGCCCGAGTCAATCGAGCCAGATGCGGCGGCCGAGCGAGCCGGCGCTGCCGCATGTGAGCCGGAATCAGCCCGCGACGCCGCGAGTAGGTTATGCGCTGCGGCCCGGAGCTGGCGCGATTGAATATATAAAATCATCATATTTGTTAACGTTATTACATCCATTTGTGTTGATATGACAGCAAACGCATGCTGAAAAGTTCGGGGGGCGTGGTTGATTTTACATAAAGCGTTTGGTTGGAAGCTCGGCTCATTTTCGCGGCTCCTCCTCTGGCTCCATCAGACAGTCCTTCTGCGCATGTCAAGGCTCCAATTTCAGCAGTCTTTTGCGACAGTTTGTGCCCGTCAAGCAGGCGTTTTGCCCTCAAGGCGTTCAATGGGAAAAGGGGCTGTCGCGTCGTCCATATTTTTTACAGTCATTGGTCAAGTCAGTCAGTCGACAGCGGCCTCTGGTGGATTTACGCAAGAACAACAGGGGCAAATGGCACTCGCTAGAGAAATTTGAGATCTGAAAAAGTGTACACAGCGGCCTCTGCTGGAAATATATATAGCGGAATGTATCCATAATAAGCCTGGATTGAAAATAACCAGTTATAAATAGTTTAAAATTAAAAAAAGTTTTAAAAAATAATAATAATAATCAAATTGACTTAAAAAGCAGTAGCAGACTACAATAAATAAATAACTAAACATCATATATCAGTTCCGGTCAGCCTCTATCCCCAAACAGTCATTTGTGTGTGAGAATTTCTACCGAGAGGTCATTGAGGTGGCGTTTAATGCCATGGAACTGCAACAGTCTTCAGTTCTGACAAATCCCGGGTGAAAAAAGGCCCTTGTTAAGAGTTTTCACAGCAGAGACAGACTGAGCTCAGAAGCTAATTATGGTGTCAACCTCCTGCTTTCTGCCTGCTCTCCTCCAGCTCCAATTAGTTTGATACAGCAGGGGTGTCAGGAGCAGAGCATTATAGCGTTATCAAAACACAGGTAAACAAACGCAGGCTGACACCTCCACGCTTCACTCAGGTACACCAGCACGAGTAAGAGCTTTCCAGATTGTGTTAGGGAGAACGGCTGAACAGAGAGCGCTGACACCAGTTAAAGACTCTGCGCTGATCACAGCATTTCAGCAGTGCTCCACGGTACTGTATACTGCCATCCAAAGGCAAAGCGCAGTAACTACACATTTAGCCTAAAGGCCTAAAATTATGGTGACAGAGGCAGTAGGTTATCAGCCACAATGCTATCCGGCTAGAATAAATCTCTGAAACACAGTACCTCCCCTGCCATCCAAAGCCATGCCTCTTGAAACACGAATATGCGCACCTTAAAGATGACAGCAGAATCCTCATTCAGCGACTAGTGCTTGGCAGGCGGCATGCAGGAATTACGGTTATTACTAAGCCATACTTACATCCTATTTCTGACCGAATATTCAGAGCATGATAAAAAAATATAGGGAGCGCTTCACAGGTTGTCATTGTTCAAATATGAACCAATGTGAATATAAAACAACTTCAGCTTAGAAAAGCAGGCTAGGTGGAGTAGTGCTTTTACTGATGTTTTGTTGTTAAACTAAATAAATTCTACATCATCGATGCTGTCAAAGCTCCATTATGACACTGAAAATAGTCACATCAATCGTTCGCCAGAAGATTTCAGTGGCTGAACAACACTTCTGTGCATATAACCCATTTGTAACAACAAAATGTACATCAGCTTTGCCTGAAGCTAAGTTTTAAAACAGAACATTACCTGTCTAACAGAAATACTTCAGCCATGGTGTCATCTTTCCTCCAGCGTGCAAAAGTAACTCCAATATAGATTCAGGATTTTAAAAAGTTTTGATTCAGCATGTTTTTACCACTGGCACGCTCTCTATTACTTTCTGCACTTCAACCCGCAGTGCGTGCATGCACAAATGGCGGATCTGCGTAATCAGCTGCCAAAATATAAACACATTTAGATCAATTACTTTAATCATTACTATTGGAATGTAAAGAGACTTTCAACCAGCACAACAAAAAAATTTTCAATTTCATTTTAAATGAAGACAATGACCTACTGCACCTTTAAAGTACAAATAAAGTTAAAAGTAACTATATGATTTGGTTTGCTCGCATTGCTAGTTTTGTAGTGAACAATTCATCTGTGTGTGTCATTAAGAAAAAAAAAGTTTGCCTTTGTAATCTTTAATCGAAATCTGAAAATGCAGCTCCTGGTTTTTTTTTTTTTCATTTTCCCTATTATTTTCAGATTAGGTACACTATCATACACTTGGCGCAATAAAGGCGCAAGATATGTTTGGCCCGACATAATGC